TCTCCACCTGCCCCACCCCCTCCCCACTTCCTCCCCACTCTTCCAGAGCCCCTCCAGTCGGGGCTGCAGACCTCGGCATCTCATCAGCGGCCTCTCTGCCGCCAGATTCCTGCTAAAGTGCCTTGATTGCATAATGTCTATTTGCATAATGTAAATTGCAATCTCCTAGCTCGGGAGGCAGGAATCACAGAACAGCCATTATTTTTTACCACTCCACAAAAATTCTACATTTAGAAAGCAGATTTGCAGCTCAGAAAGCCGTATAAATCTGAATCTGCCAGAAATGCCATTAAATCACACCAATTAAGCTGGACCAACGAAGAGCCCCTGTCACTGTTCCCTGCACACTCAAGGACTCCCAGCCCAGATGGAGGCCGCAAGAAACTGGTGGCTGTGGCAGCAGGGCTGGAGCCAGGAGATACAAGAGGCAGGAAATTCTGTTTTATAAACGTTAACCCACACCCTAAGCATAGGCACCCATCGAGACCTGGTGGAGAAAGGAGAGAAAAGGGCTAGAACCAGTCTGAGTTATTTCCAAGCTCACTGCCTGACTTTTGGGGGCACACTGTCTGTCTGCAGACTTTTAATTTACAGAGCAGGAGAGAGTATGTGAGGAGGAAGCCTGCACCTGTAGCCAAGGTAGTGGGGTGGGCCAAGGCGTTTCACTTGGGGGTGAAACATCGTGCCTGTAGCAGCCCTTTAACGACCTTTACTCTATTCTCCCAAATCCCCTCCAGCCAAGTGAAAGAAAACCTAGGACAAATCCTGCTCAGACTGGGCTGGACCGGGCTGGAATCTGAGCTCCTTTTAAGAGCTGTTTCCTAGGGGTCACTGGGGAGAGAGGTGAGTCACAGGTCCCTGGAAAGGGGCACTCCCTCTGACAACTACTCATGATTCCAGCTTCCCTGAAGCTGTATACCTGGTTACTCTTTTGCCTCTTTATTGCTCATTCAATATTCATTTGTCAAAGGGCAAGATGCTAATGTGTATTATTAAAATATCAATAGTTTATGAGTGAACTTTTATGGAGGGTACAGTTAAAGGGAAGATTCCTGACCATCTCTGTCAGGAGCAATGAAAAGGAACAATCTTTCTTTCCAACTCCACTTTTTATTTATTTACCGGGTGAGTGAATGACTGAAGCCTTATTGAATCCCTATTGTGTGCCAGGAATGGCGCTAGGGCTTTCACATGCTGGATTTCATTTAGTCCCCACAGCAGTCCTGGAAGGGATACAATCCCATTTCCATTCTAGAGATGAGGAATCTGAAGACCAAAGAGATGAGCCCGGGACCACAGAGGTGCAAGGCTGGGATTCAAGCCCCAGCTTTGGACTTTAAACCCAACATTTTTCCCCGAAGTTGGAGCCTTGAAAATACAAATGATCTTTCTGTTTTTATCTGTTTCCTTCACCTGCCCAAATTAAACATTAGTTTCCTGAGGTAAGTTTCACGAATGGGGAAAAGAGAGAACAGGAAATCATTCCAAACTTTCATACAAACCCATTTCCATAAGTGGGCCTCCACTTTAGACACATCTAACAAGTTCCCAGAACCTTTTCTGCACAATTAGAATCTTAGAACCGAGGGGGACATTAGAGATGATGTCATCAGGCTTCCCCATTTTACAGGAGAGGAAACTGAGGTTCTTGGGCCACACAAAAGTGATTACGTCTCTAGAACAGAGTCCTAAATTTGATTTCACCTCTGTTACTAACTTACTCTGTCACTCGTTAGGGTATTTCTCCTGTTCTCTGAGCCTCCACTCCTTTTCTGTAGCACAGAGATGATAGCAGAATCTCACAAAGCAGTGTAAGGAGGGTTCAATGAGAAAACGCACATCGAGGGCTTAGCACAGGGTCTAGCAGGCAGAAAGTGCTCAGTCAATGTTGGTTATTAATAGTAAGCTGACTTGTGGAAGACTCCAGGACTCTCTCTCCAAACCCCAGCACCTTTCCTCAAACCAAGCCCAATTACCCCTCTCTTCCCTGCTTCCTCCCTTTTGGTATTAGCCATTCTCAGATCTTGGCCCTTTGGGAAAATGAACTCATTCTATTTCCACTCTTTGGTTGCTTGAATTTTCCTTCTACCCTCGTAAGTTGTAACAAGGCATCCAGTGCACTCAGATTCTCTTCCAAAATTTAGCTGCATCTGGGTCAGGAAAATGGTAAAGGGAAGGGAACCTGGTCCTTAAGGGCACAGCCTCCTGCACGTTATAGTGTGTGGCAGAGGGAAAGGAAGGAGAGGAGAGGATGTGGGGGTACAGAGAGGAAGGGCTCCCTGGACCTCCTCAGTCCCCAGCACAGCCCCGATAGCCTCTTAAGTCCTGATCTTTGGCTGAAACCTGCCCCAGCTTGGAAGTCCGTGCAGTTGGGGATGTGCGGAGCCCTGGATAAGAATGAAAGACTCAAGGCTTGTGGAGTCCTTGGTCACAAATCAAAGCCATCTCTAGACCTGGCACTTAAGCTGTGGGTTGCAAACTGGAACCACTCCTGCTGAGATGGACTATAAGGTAGAGGTTTCTCAGCATGTCCTCAGGGAGTCCCACCCCAGAAGGAAGCCCATCCTGGCCTCAGGGAAGGCCCTTTAAATATAGACATTCTGTGAGTTAAGGGACAGTTTGGTTATCTAAGGCAGGGGTTTCTTTAACCTGTCTTTGGAAATAGATGAGGCTGTGCTGTGCCAGACTTAAATGCTGGTTGTGGTAAATTGTACTTTCCAAAGATGGCTGCAACAACATATATCCCATCCCTCATGCTCCTCTTTCAATGTGATATTGATACTCCTTCTTCAAGAGGTGGTGGTGGGAGGGTGTCTGTGTTCCCTTCTTTAAACCTAGGTGGGCCTTTGTAACTGCCCCCATCAAGAGAACGTCGTGGAAGTGACTGGACTTCAGCAATGCAGCTTCCTCCTGGCTCTTGTCTCTCAGGATGAACCCCCTTGACTTCCAACCACTATATTGTGAGGAAGTCCAAGCCACATGGAGAGGTCACAGGGGACTAGACAACAGCCTCAGCTAACATCTCAGCCAAATGCTAGTATCAATCCCCAGAATTACGAGTGAATGAGCCTTCAGATGATTCCACACCCAGCTTTTGAGTTGCCCCAGCTGAACTCACAGACCTGGTGGAACAGAGATAAGCTGAACCCACTGTGCCCTGTTTGAATTCCTGACTCACAGAATATGACCATAATAAATGTTGTTAAGTCACTATGTTTTGGGATGGTTTGCTACACAGCTGTAGTAACTGGAACACAACTGGAATTAAATTAGAATGTTTGCTGTTTCCGCCTCAAAGCTAGCCCTCACTGGTCTTCTCTCTGACATTTCAGGCTTTCAGACTATTCCCTCCTCAATGGGCCCCAGTCCCTTGGAGCCTGCCTCCCTCTTCCTTCTCTTCCTACCCCTCCAAAAGGCAAGATCCTCTTGCCTGAGGTGGCCTTAGCAAACCACTGGCTGAAAGATCATTTGAATCTTCCCATTTCAGAGTCCTGGGACCTGAAGAAACCTGCTGTCCCTCCTTCCTCAGTGCAGGTCTAAGAGGGTGTCCTGGTAAAGGAGCTTTCCCTGGCTGTGGGTGGCCCAGTGCAAGGCGCCTGGCTGTCCGCAGAGACAGGGAGGGAATGAGCAGACCTATTTCCCCCACACTCTCCACTCATTGAGGTTCACGCTCAGCTTGCTCCTCTCATACTTGACTTGACTTATGAGGTCCCTCTAACCTCCGGTGCGAGGAGACATCGATTCTCACAAAGGTCATTATCTTTCTACTCTGGCTCCTCCCAGCCCCCAGCCCCATCTCCTAGGTAGGTTTTCCTGGAACAGGATGGAGGGAGGAAACCTTCCCCACCCCCTGGGCCTGGGGATCTGACCACTCCAGAGCCCAGGATGAAGAGGAGGTGCCCTGGGAGCCACGGCCCGTCAATCACAGAGGCGACCAGCACTGAATCTCAGGCCATTAGGCGGGAGGGCTGGCGCCCTGCTCACTCACCGGGCAGCCATCGGCAGGATGTTAGATGATCGCAGGGCGACCATTCTTATGATTTATTCAAATAGTCATTACAGTCAATCTATTTTTACACAAAGGTGAAGATGTGCATTGATAACGGTTAATCATTTATAATTCCATGGACTGGTTGGAAGCCAATGTACTATCAAAGTCGCAGCAGCAACTCAGCCTCCAGCAGTCCCAGAAGCAGGGTGGAGAAGCTAAGCAGCCCAGGGCAACCCAGTCTTCCAACTAACATTTGCCACTAGGTTGAGGGTGCAGTGGGGACACAAAGATGTGGGAATCCCAGACCGCCTGCAGGAGCTCACAGCCTCGCTGAGGGCACACAGTAAAGTGCAGGCAGAGGGGTGCCCAGAAGACAAAGGGTACGGCAGAATTTCAGAGGAAGGAGAAATCAATTCCAACTGGAGTTACCAAAGAAGTCTCCACGGAGGATACTGGACTTAGGCTGGGTCCTACAGGTGGGTAGACATTTGCTAAGTGGCAGAACCAATATGAGCAAATACGCATATGCATAAGGTGGAGCTATTACCGCGTTGATAGAAGAGAAGTGATCTTCAGCATTTCCTTTTAGCTCTCTCACGCCTTGCTAGAAATAACCAGATGTAAAAGCAAGCGCGGGCTATGCACTTGACCCAGTTCCTCCTCTCACTGCCTCCCAAGCTTAGCCCACAGACAACAGTGGCTGGGGTCTGGGTTGGCCTTGCAAACTCAGGAGCTTCCCTTTCCGACACTCATGACACACATTACACATCAAGTCCACCTTAATGCACAATCAATAAAGTCTAATTAAAAAGGATGTCATATTACAGGGCTTCTTTGTCACATTCAGACCTAATCTAATTAGAGGTCCACTGTATTTTACATTCTGACTAGCTTATTGTCGAGTGTTTCTCTTGCACAATGCATGGCTGTTAAAGATCAGGTTCAGGGCTGGTCTTTAACCCATAACCTTATTGAGTCAGCATGGAAAACACCAATCACAGTTACTTACAGTTCGCAGTTCCTTTTCTGGTGAGCCGCATGGAGGACGGAAAGCCTCAGAGTCCTGCTCCAGACTTCACCTGTCAATAGAAGAAAACATTTTCACAAACTGTGCATGATTCTGCTAGGAGTGAGAGTCAAGGTGGGGATGAGGGTAAACTCAGAAGTGGGTCTGGCTCAAGAGCAAAGCTGGGACTGGCAGCCCTGTGCCCATAGTGCTGGCTGGGAAAGTTTCTGAGAGAAGTATTCCAGCTGCAAAAGGATTATTGTTTAGACAGCTAACCAGGCCAGAGAGCCGGAATCATTCCCTCCTTACCTATTTGGTGCCTCAATTTCTTGTGAGTTGCATCCCTTTCCCTACAGGAATCCCAGAGAAAAAGAGGCTCATGACTGTTGAGAGCCCTAAGCTGACCAAGGCAATAATCATTTACTGATGCCTCCTTTCTGAAGGAAGACCCCCTGCAGGGGGACAGAGCTGAGGAGCCCCTGTGAAAGCTTGCAATCTATATGCAGAAGGCTGCCAAAACCAGCATACAAACAACACTGATGCTGTTGTTTAGGCAGGTTTATGGAAAGTCCTGATATAGGAGAGAACTTTCAAGTCAAGGTGAAGAGTCCACTTGGGCTGGAAGGAAAAGAGTGTGCATGAAGAATGATGGGGGCAAGACTGGAAATATCAAAAAACATGACATCTTTTAATTCTCTTTCTGGGATAAAGAAACAAAACAACAAGAAGAGAAACCCAGCATGTATTTATCAGGTGTCCACTCCATGATCTATATTCGCCAGGAATAAAATCCAGGGGTCCTTTTAGTAAAAGTGCTGCCACATCTTAGAGAATAAGAATATCTATATGAAACATCATCAGATAAGACAAGACTATCTTATAAAGTAGTGCTGAATTCTGTGGTAGGGACTATGCTTCTGTCTCCACAGAGAAACAAAGTCAGTGAGAGCTGAAGCACTTGAGGAAGTTTTCAGCGGTGGTAGAACTTGAATGGGGTCTTGGAGAACTGGACAGGTGAGATTTGGCTGGTGGAAGGGAGTGAGAGGGCATTCCAAGAAAGGGACAAATCTGAGCAAAGATGAGAGGGGGAAAGCATGAGTGCCCTGGGACACGCAGAGGCTGGTTAGCCTGAGAGAGACTATAGGAGGGACTAACACTGAGTAAGCCAGATGGGGACAGAGCATCCAGGGCTTTGAGCGTCAGGCAGAAAGGCCAGGCTTGGGCTATGTGCTCATGGAGCCATTGAAGGTTTTTTCAACAGGAAATAATATGAAGAAGAGGAGCCTCCCACCATACCTCGTCTTTAGTATTCTCCTTTTAATTAAACCAGAGAGGCTCCTTGGAAGAGGTAGAATGTCAAATAGAAGATTCCAGCATGTAGTGCGATGTGCTCATGGAAAGAAAATGTCCCTGTTGCTCATGATGATGTCCACCAGGATGAGGCATTTCCTCTGGGGCTGTCTACTAACACCTGCATGACCAAGATTAGTCGCTTATGGAGGTACCTCAGAGACAAGACCAAACCACTGGACTGCAAGTCCTTGAGGACAAGGACTACATCTTATGTATCTTTATAGCCCCAGAACCCAGCAGAGTGCTCAGCATGTAATGGGGTCTCAGTATATCTTGAAATGTTCAATGGTGGACCCTGTTCATTCCAACCAGAATCCACAACCAGCACCTAAGAACCAGCCCCTCGTTGGCAACGGGCTCCAACCTGTATTCTTTTAAGCAATTGACACATTGCTACTGAGCATACATGAACTCAGTACAAGTCTCTAGATTGAACTGCATGGACAAGTGATTTATCCATGTCCTCTGGGATTGTCCGCTGAGACACAACTTGGAAGAAGATACAGCAGACTTGCCATTTGCACATGCTGCAAAGCTGGGAAGGATAGCTGCTACGCTGGAGAGAGGGAGTCAAGAGTATTATAAAGCTTTTCACAAGCTGAAAGGATGGGCCATAACTAAATAGTCAATTTTTTCCTCTACCAGTTTTTATTTCTTGCACCTTAACATCATGACAACCACATACAAAATAATTTTGAAAATAAAGAAAAATTGCTCACAATCTCATGACTCTAAACCATCAAATTATTATATCCTACATCCACACGCAAATCCATTTTTATTTTTTACAGAATTGTAGAAAAAGATTTGACAAGAATATATATATATATACATGTATATATATACCTACATATATATATATACATGTATATATATACCTACATATATATATATATACATGTATATATATACCTACATATATATACCTACATATATATATATATATATATATATATATATATATATCTACACACATGCACACAAAATCCTACTCTTACATTCAAAAATCAGTTGCAAAAACACAGAATGGAGTAACCTGGTTTAAAAAAAAAAAAAGACGTGGGCTATTTGAATTGAATGCAAACTCAGGATGAGCACAGTGTATGGCATTGCTGCCAAACCCATTAAACGTGGTCTCAGGTGGCATTAATAGCCATATGGTGTCCAACTGAGGGGTGAATGGTCCCCTCACTTTGGACTTATCAATCCATTTTAGTTTTAGATGCAGTTCTGGCATCATATTCTAATAACTTTGACAGTGAAGAGTAGAAGAGAGAGGTAAGTGAAGATGTCTAGTGGTTAAAGTACTGGTTAAAATTTTAGTAGTTAAAAGGGAAGGCTCTGGAATCAGACTGCACAGGCTTCAATCCCTTCTCCACCATTTACTAGCAGTACAACCATGGGCATTACTTAACTTCTCTGTGCCTCAGTTTTTCATCCGTAAAATAGAGCTAACAAGGGTTCTACCTGAGGTTGGTTGTGAGGACTGAATGATTTCATATACTATAAAGTGCTTAGAACTTGCCTCACACAAAATAAGCACTCACTGAAGGTTAACTATCGTTGTTATTTTCATTATTAGGAGGCTGTGAGGTAGAAGCTACGGGAGAAGAAACTAGAGATGTACCTTCATTTGTCCCTCTCTAATATGACCCATTGGTCCTGGTTCTATTGAATAAGCAATGATCCTTCTCCCACATCATGGTCCTCCAAATCTTTGAAGAAGCTATATGAAAGAGGGACTGCGTTACTCTAGACAGTAGGATTAGGACTAATTGATAGAGGTTAGAGGAAGCCAATCTTCAGTTCAATATAAAAAAGAAGTCTCTAGCAAAGAGAACCATCCAAAAATGAGTTAGGCTTCCTCAGAAGGTGGTGAGCTCCCCAACATTGGAAGGAGAATCCTGCACTGGGTGAGAAGCTGCTCCAGAGCATGGTCTCCCAGACATGGTTTCACCCATCCGTAAAATGCTAAAAAACATTAGGAGACTGACAGGGGTGACAAACATATAGGATCTATGGCAAACATATTGAGAAAACCTTAATAATGTCTTTTTGCACCATCATTTCATAAATAATTCAACCCCCAAAAGTAAGGAGAGCAAGAAGGGCCATCCTTTGAACTGCATAATTAGAGCATCACGAAAAGCATTTCTCTCTCTGTCTCTCTCTCTCTCTGCCTCCCTCACACACACACATACGCACATGCATGCACATGTATGTGCACATGCAAGCTCTCAATATTGTCCTTGTTTTTCACTCATCACCAGGCACCAAGGGAAAGTCTTCCTGGACTGGCACTGACCATGGACACATTCTGGGAACCATCCATGGGCGTGATATTTTAGGGCTTTCCAAAGTCAGCAGTTTGTGGCCTTGGCAGGCAAGTGATCATGTCAAAGGCCTTCAGACAAGCAGCCAAGCAATAATGCAACCAGAAATCAAACTCAGGCCTGTCTTATTCACCAGAAAAATAAAATGGAACCATAAATGAGATTGACCATTCACATTTATAAATATGAGGAAAGTTGTGAAATGGTAAATGAGGAGGGAGTTGTTGAATGCTCATGTTTGTTTGGAAAAGAGGCAGGGAGAGGGACAGAAGAAAGCTTCCCACAGGAGGTAGCACATGCTTAAGGATAGCTGAGCGAGCACCCCTGAAGCACCCATACATAAGTCAGAAGGATGGAGGGAGATGAGCTTGGGGCTTAGCAAGGCCATGGATCTAACACAGAGAGCAGTAGACCAGGGGCATCACTAGACGTGGGCTCATGCCCTGACTCCATCATTAACTTACTGTGTGATCTTGGACAAGGAACTTTAACCACTCTCTGCCTCAGTTTCCCCATCTGCAAAATGATAGGGTTAGACTACTAGATGATCCTCAAACCAAAAATTCTATCTGACATCTATACATCTCTGAGGTGGCCCAGACTAATCCCCTAGGGAGGGCTCTAAGTCTCATGCTAAGGTAGTTCAGTACATCATCATGGTTAAGAGTAAAGAAGCAGGAGTCAGATAGTCCTGGGTTCAAGGCTGGGTCCATCACTTCCCTAACCTTAACCTCTATAACCTCGATTTTCCCATCTTTAAAAGGGGGATACAGAGCACCTTTAAATGAAATGTTGCATCTACAGCATTTTGTGCAATGCCTGGAACAGATTAATAACAATAAATGGGGGCTATCCTTGTTGCTGTTCAGTACCATCAAGTAAGGACTGGCAGCAACTGAAAGGGAAAAGAGAAGTAAATCAAGAAGACTGAGGACTTCTGCATTCATCCCACCGCCCATGACAAGCTTTTCTGCTCCTGACCCAGCCAGACCTCTAGGATGAGGACAAATTTTGACAACCCATTCTTGGGCACCAAGACTCTCCCTGGATGCTCCTCTTCTCTGAAAAGCCCTCTGTAGGCAGATGAGCAAAACTTCCAAAAGGGAAACAAAACTTGAATAGACCGTTCCAGAAGGGAACACCTAAAGGACCACCTATCCCGCCAGACAGTATGTCCTGTGTCTCCCCCCCTCATTGCCCTAAGTCTCCTCTCTGCTCCACCTGTGCTCCCCTCATCACCTGATGACAGCTTGCAGTTGCTTGCATTGTTGAACAAGGTTGTCAGTTACAGCATCTTAGGCCATGACCACCAGGCCCTAAATTACACTATAACTGGGTAATTGAATACCGATAAAATTACCTGGCACTAAATACTTGGCTCCGAGAC